TTGATTGAGGGACTAGTGTGTTTCTAGGGCGGGTTCCATCTTTTTGACTACCTTTCAGCATGACTACTTAAGAGGTTTTAGTCTTGACTAATAAGAAAGGTGAGTTCTTGTGAGCCTAGAAAATGTAATAACCTTTGGTCACTGTTTTAACAGCCTCTGTCCTCTCTATATGAGCCAGAGAGGAATGTCATTAGAGGTTTTGTTTTGGTTTTGCATGTTTTGGTTTGGTTTGGTGGGGGGTTTTTTTGGTTGTTTGGTTTTGGGGGTTTTGGGGTGGTTTTTTTTGTCTATGTCTTATCCTAGATTCTGTCTTAATCTTAACTGTGCTTGGTTGGAAGACATGAGTCAGAAAAGACCTATTTCCTTCCTTGGGGCAAAAAAATCAAATACCTTGATTTAGGGTGGGGTTTTTTCCCCCCGCAGGAAAACCTGTAATTTACCAGTCTATAAAAGTTCATGAAGCATACATTTTTGAACCACATGAACTCAGCCTTGGAATATAAAACTAAGAGTTCTGATGTCTCCACCCTAACTGCTAGTTGTCTCAGTGTTCTCATAGTTTTGAAGATTGTCATTGCTCCAGAATGCTTAGAAAAGTTATAAAAAGTTATGCATCAGATCTTTCAATTCTGAAAATAGTAAGATACTGAAAAATAGAACAGCTGTAGTGGGTACAACTAGATCAGTAGACTTGTGTGAATTATCCTTCTTACATGCATAAGCATTCATATAGTTAAGGTCAGAGAGAAATACCAGAAGATTTATCCAGTCAGACTCAGTAAGTGTTAAAAATTTTCACTAGAGGGGCAGAAGTAACTGTGAGATTTTAGTGCAGTTGTGTCTATCCATTTTTCTTTCTTTGTCCTCCCCTCTTAGAGCAAGTAGTTTCATCATTCTGTGCTTGCCTCTGTTAGTTACTGACCTTCTCCAACTTTCAGTCTGTGCCAGTATCCAATATTTTCTTTCCTTTGTTCTTTGGGGAACTATTTCATAGTAGCCAGATGCATGAAGAGGTCTTGGTTCTGTTGTAACTGGAAGCTGCTATGCATATGTTAGACCCATTAAAAATAAATATTTTCTGGTAATTTCTCATTCTCAAAATAATGTTTGGCATGCTGTTCGATCCTCAGCAAGTAGAATATGTAGAAGAAATAAGTTGGGGGCGGGGGGGGTTTACCATTTCACTCCTAGTACTGTTTCACTCTTAGAACTGCTACAGGATCATGACTCTTCAAATGCTTACTTCTGCATTTCAGTAAAAGGAAGTCACCAGGAATATCTCAGGTTCATAAGGCAAATCCATAAGATCATAGCCCATTTATTCTCTTATTCTTTGAGCTAGATACAGATAGCAAGATGAATAGGACTAGTGGCTGGTCTTCAGAGTCTATAGCTGTCTGTATTACAAAAGACTATTCTTACAGCAAATTAGAACTGCATGTTTTGTAAATACCTGTTTTCCTTTCAAAGCTCTTGTCTGTAGAAAGACACAAATTCTTAATTGATCCTGGTTTTCATATCTATATTCAAAGAAGATATATTAAGATTGTCTGCTTATCATAGAACAGGATCTGATACTTTATTCAGGATATGGACTTAACCAAATCCAAACAGTAGAGCATATTAAGAACTTGCATTTAGATGTGAGACCAGACAGCAAATTTTACATCTGACAGTTCCCTGTCATTTTCAAAGCTGGTCAAGCCTAATGACTCCAAGGCCAGATAGAAGGGTGTCTCCATACCAGATGCAGCTTATGGGAAGTCATTTTGAAGGATCTCTATGTACGTAATCTGTATACATGTAATGTAGAACATCTACAGCTATGTTATGGAATAATTTGGTGCAGTAGGATTGGACCAGCAGATTGAAGCAGCAGGGGTTGAGGCCAGTGTATTTACAGTAGAGGTTTAAGCTTTGAGTTAGATTTAATCTGAGGTGAACATCTCCACCTCATGTGTTTCAAAGCTGTCTGAAGGCTCAAGCATTATTTTTGTCCTTTTGTCCCTATTAAGTATTGGAGTGCATTTGCTGTGGAGCTTCCTGTTTAGCTTCCTCCTAATGGAAATTAGTTTACAAGGACCAAAACTTATCTGTAAACCAAATCAATGCTCAGTAAATGGGGACAGTGAGGAAATTCACTTCAAAAACATCCTAATCAAAAAACTAATGCCAATAGACACTGTATTTCAATGTTTACTGCAGTCATGTTTTTCTCCAATACAAGAAATAGAGAATGATATCAGGAGTCCATTTCAAAACAAACAAAATGTGCTACATGTAGTTAGGCTATAGAACACTTGCCACAGCAGTTTCTGGAAGCTAAAAAGCTTATAAAAGCTTAAGCAGAGAATGAGCAAGTTCTTGGGACAGAATCCATTGAGAATTACATTGAAATGACATCCAGTGCAGGAAGCATTTTGTATGAACTACAGAACCTCAGAGGCAGAGAGAACACTCAGGGGAAGGATTGTGTGTTTGTTCTGGTCCTTAACTCTAACTGAGCACCTGCTTCGGTGTCTGCCAGAGGCAGGATATTAGGCTAGATGGATCCCTGTGCCAATCTGATATGGCTGTTATTACATTCTTAACTTAAGGAAACTGAGGAAACTGAAATCAAGCATGTGGTCTAAGGATGAAAGAATTACACGATCCCACTTCAGCAAAAAGGAAATTCTATGCAAGCAAATGTGGTGTTGCCAGAGAAATAAAAAGAAAGAAGTTCTTTCATTTATGGAATTAATTTTAATTACCTTCAGTAATTCCACGAATTAAGACGAGGATTGATATTTTGACTATGGAGCTTTGAAGACTCTGTTGAGGAAGATACAATGTTTCACGGAAATCTTTACTGACAGCACTGATAGTGTTAGTTATTGCAGGTTGTGGAGGGGGAGAAAAAGAGCAGGATATTACAAATTCTGAGTGGAAGATTACTTAGAAATTGTAGGGAAGATTAGAGAATTCTTCTGGTTTCTTGTCTTACACATTATGTAGTATTTGTAACTCCTATTTACTTACTATTTATTGCATAGAGTTGTTTGTTTTCTTAACAAGTCTCAACATCTAAATTTCAAATAAATGCTTTTAAATGGTTCCTTGGTAGACATGCTTATAGTTAAAAATATGGAAAATACTGTTTGTTGTATGGTACAGTTATTTTCTTCCTTTTTTTCCCTTATATTAGTACACAAACACACACTTATATTAATGTAAACTTTGTTTGTTCCTTTCTAGAAGTCACACCTTTTCTCTACTTTTTATAACAGATTATAATTTCTTTCCTCTATCTTCCCTTATTCTCTTCTTACAAGATTAAAGAACAGTAAGTCAGGTCTTACCACCTAACTATAAACATATAAGTATGTTGTCCTTGTGAGTCATTGCGCTCTTGTTCATGTGCAGGGACCTGAGGATATTCAATTTCTGTTGTAGCTGTGCCTGTAGATATGTTGGGAAATTTACCTTATGTAACAATTTTTCATCTCCTTAACAACCGAAATTATTAATGTAATCATAAAGTGTACAATTTTATACACAGTTCAGCTTTTAATCATCTTTGGTTTTCTGTATGTAGTTAATTTTGTATGATGATGAAGCATCAGAATTCCAACCTATGTTTTCTACTTTTAATGACATAAAATGAAAGAGCTGTGGAAATAATGAATTAAATATAGTAGGTTAACTTTAGCTGAATTTCTCAGGAGCCTGAGGTGAACGCAGTAAATCAGAGCTGCCCCATCTATTTCAATTGCAGCTGTCTTGCCACCAAGATTTGAGATGGAGAATTTAATGGTATAGAATTAATAGTTTTCCTTGCAAAAGGCACACAACATTGTTTCTGGCTTTTGCCATACTGAAATAATCTGAATAAGTATCTCCAACACGCTTGCCCAATATAGGTAAACATACGAGTTGAAATTAGTTTGTTTTGTTAACAGCAAATGTTCTGAAGAAATCCAGTTTTTAAATTATTTTAAATGTCTTAGTACAAACCTCTGTGTCGGTAGCCTTGTAATGAAATGGAATCATTCAGGATCAATTTCTCAGTGACCTTGTCTGTGAACTCAAGTTTGTAACTGTATTTCAGTCAGCCAATGCACTCCTATAGACTGAGCAGCAAAATGATACAGTTCTTTATCTTTGTCTAAAGAAGTGTCTGAATTCTGTTTATATTAACATTTGCACTTACAGGATTATTCTAATGTAGGATAGGAATAACTTTTCCACATTAGTATTGTTTTACAGATGTGGTATTCTGCCACAGCTAAAGTTGTTCCACTGTAATAAGAAGAATTGATCAACATTTTGTGAAAAAACTAGTGCTTTTGCTTGAGTATGCAGCTCAGGAAACATTTTCAGAAGTAGAGAATGCCCATCCTTTGAAAATCAAATCCTTTTAAGTAGTTCGTGTGAGCATTCTGTAACAGAGGGGCTCAGATTCACTAACCATATTTCAAACTCTTGGCTGCTTTTTCAAAAAAATCATGTACATACCATACATTTAAAACTTAGTACATGTGTTTTCACTTTCCAGCTTCCTGAACAAAATGTGATAGCTATATGGAACAGTTGGTGTTAACTATGTTTGGTACCTGTTCAATTCCAATTGAACTTCCAATTACTTGTGCTGCAAAAAAAGGTTTAAATTTGTAAGTTCTGGTCTGCACAATAAACAAACATACACAACTTAATGTTCTTTTTTTAAATCTGAAAGTCAAGTTTAATTATTTGCTTTTTATTCAGATTAATGTCTACCACTATATATTATAGTATGGATTTTAAATGACTTTTCAAATCCAATACACTTTACTGGTACATTAGAAGCATTCATTTAGGTACAAGAAAAAAATACAAATTGAAAATTAGCAAATGTTTATCATTTTTATTATATTTAGTATACAACCTATCCAATTTTGAATGTAAAAGATGTTTAATCTGTGGGATCTCTAAAACAGTAAGGCAGTAATTTATAACTTTGAAATGTTTTTCATTGGCAGCTAAAGAAGAACGTAAAAAAGAAGAGAACAGTTTGGAAAATGCACAAAAATGGTAAGGTTTTTGCTAGTGTTTTCTAACAGTTTATTTTGGTCAAAGATGTTATTGATCTTAGGAATTACATTAAATAGGAAAAAGGATCTGTACTTCAAAGAAGTAATATGCTTTCTGAAAAATTCTTACGTAGTCTTCCAGGAAAAAGTTCAGTTGAGTTTTTAGCCAGTGTACTGTGTTCAAGGTTTTAATTACTGTCAACACTGAATTGAATCAGTTTTACAGAATATTGTAATAACTGATTAACTACTTAATGGAGTAAAAATGTATTTCATCATCACTAAACGTTTTCAGCACTTGGGCTATTGAATGAAGTATACTAAGAAACCAGTGAAATCCTAATGTTTTTATTGCCTGAATATCTGTGCCTTACTTAGGCCAAAGGAGACAAAATAGGGGGAGAAGTGAGATAAATTGATTTATAGACAGATAGTAAAATATTTAATAAGTTAGTATTTCTAATAAATTTTGTTTACCAAATTATACTTTTGTGAGAGTGAAGGATCTGCCTTTAACCTTGTTTACGTTAGCTATGGAACTGCTATAAATCAACTGGGGTAAATTAACTTTTAACTTCTTATCAATATTTTTTCTTCATGGTCACTAAAGGCAGAGCTGTGGTAATTTGGATTTTTATGTTACTTCTCTGAGCCCAGAGTCGCTCCACCTGAGACACCTAGATTAGACTTCCTAGACAGTCAGGAAAAGAGAGAGAGGCACCTCCCAAATGCAGATCAAGTCTTAGGTGAACTGTTCCCATGTGCTTGCAGAAGATGCCTAAATTGGCTGAACTATTGGCTGACATCAACTGGGACTCTACCTCTTAATTTCATTTGTCAAGAGTGGCTGGCTGGCTTGTTTCCTTTCTACCTAGCTACAAACCTACCTTTTGTGGCACAGGCTCTTTCATATTCTACCTGCTTTGTAGCCTTTCTGGAGCAGGGTAGACTCTTCAGGGTATGGAGGTACACTTAATTTGCAGTTGACTTAAGGAATTAGTTGTCTGATACGGAGTTTGGGTTTTTCAATTGCTAACTAAACATTCAGTATTTTAAATTACTGCTAAAAAGATCTGTGACTTTTGAAAGTCAGAAAGCAGCCCAGGAAGCTAGATTAAGCTGGGTGAAAGCAAAACAGTGCTACTGGGGGAAGGGCTGAAGGTGGAACATGAAGAGGGGATGAGGAGTAAGTGTCAGGATGAAGGCAGAGGGAGAGAGAGTGTGCAGGAATTCAGAATCCCAGAGCATGCAGAGTCAACTGTATTGGCTACAGCTGGGATGGAGAAGGGTTCCATTAGGAAGAAGAGAGCATGATGTTACTGGGGCTGCTGTTACATGAAGCAAACCTGAGAAGAGAGGTCCTGGTCTTGCTGTTCCTGGCTCAGCTGTCCTAGTCAAGGGGTATGAACAGCTGAGGAATATTTGGCCCAAGTGAATGTAATGGAAATGACATTGCCCAGTAGACATAAACTGTTTTAACCATGTGATTATGACTAAGGTATTTTAGTATTTTTAGCGTTTGAAATCCCAGAATGGTTTACACAGATATTTAAAGCTGTGTTAGTTTTTTATTTATTTATTTATTTTCTCCTTGTAGTGTCACTACAGGAGCCTTCAACTCTGAATGTTATGGGCTTATTCATACTTATTTCATTGTGATTCCTTTAGCGTGGATCACCAATTAACTTGAAATATAGTTACATGTTTCATACAAAACCTATGTAAGAAATTTAAAAGGTTAAGGTTATCATATATAAGGATTTAAACAACTATTCTATTAATAGCTCACCTTGAGCAATATGTGATATTCTTCAGTATGTCCTAGAAGCTGTATCCATCTTTAAACTATCAAAAAACCCAGAGCATATTGGCTCGTGTGGCTAAAATCCAAGCTGCTTTACTTTGTGAAGCAGCTCAAGTATATACTGCTTTATTTTTGGGGGGTAACTTCTGTATTTTTTGATGGTTACTTTATATTCTTCAAGCCTAGCTAAAAGCTTGAATCTCAGCCTAAGGCTTGACCCTAACCTTGGCAATTCTGTATGAAAACATGCAATGTGAACTATCCAAATGCAAGCATAAGTCAAGAAAGAACTGTTTGCTGAAGCTGCATCTGTTGCTCAAGTAATATCTATTGAATAATTGGGGACTCCTTACAAGTCTTTAAAATACCACTTATTTATTTAATTTTCAGGATTTACACTTCCTGTGTTCTAGATTTAGGACCTATTGACAACTATAAAGAAGAATATAACTTTCTTTTGTTTAAATAAAATCAATATTTCAAGAAAAATGAGTTATTCTGAAATATGTTGTTACCTTTCTTTTTAAATTATAGCATTATTTTTCATAAGTATCACCAAATCTTTCAGGATTGTTACATCTACTTTGCAGAGAAAAGTGATTCAACCTTTACAAAAGTGAACATAATTGTCTTTTGTTTTCTTTAGATAAGTCTCCATGTACCTAGTTATGTGAATCCTTCCATTTTATCTATACAAAGCAATATCATAAAGGATAAAAATGCACAATCAGTTAAAATGCTATCAGAAGTATCGTCTGTAATAAAAGACTACTTTGAAAATATCCAGCTGTATAGCAATTCAGTAGCCTTAATATAAAATAAAAAAGCATTAAAATATTGGCAATGTATTTTCATAAAATTAATTATCTGCTTATTCAAACATGTGGAAGGAGATTATTTCTTTTCAGTAAAAACTTTGCAAACTGACTCTTGGCACTGTCTGTGGCTTTTTTGCTGCTACTCCCAATTCTGCCTAAGTACTTGAAGGTTATTTTCAACCAAGCCTGGAGATTTTTTCCTGACTTGGTGTGTGACTCTTCCATAGTCCTTCAGTAAAGGTAAATGGGAGAATAAGATCTTCATGGAGTGTTGCAGAATAAAATTAAAGAAATAGATATAATATAGCATTTTCTGAAATGCAAGAAGTTAAAGTTTTTCTCATTAAAATTGAATGCCCACGATTTGCCTGTGTGACATATCTCTATGATGGCTCATGCATCTGTAAGTTATCCTCCTGGGAATGAGGTAGGTGTTGGAAAGCTAGTTATACTCAGCGTGAATTGCTGCTATGATTTCCAAGGCTAAGGGGAAGTTATGGTAATTACCAGCCTTGACTACTGAATCAGGAACCAGCCCTCAGAGAAACTGTTTCCCCAGTGGGCTTATGTGTTGACAGTTTTTTTCCCGCCTCCCTCGTAGCTTTGAAGAAACAGTGGGATACTTTGGGATAAAGCCAAAGCCTGGAGAGAAGGAGATCACACCAAACTACGTTTTCACGGTGTGGTACGAATTCTGCAGTGACTTCAAGACCATTTGGAAACGAGAGAGCAAAAGCATTTCCAAGGAACGGTAAGGTTCTAATAAAGTCATTAATACCATTTTAGATGTCTGGGAAACTGTTCCTTCTCAAACCCAACAAATTATACTCCTATATTTCACAGGCGTCATTGTTTTCTTTCAGATCTAATGGACATCAAGGAAAGATTATTCCCTCAGGGTGCGTAGGAAAATTCACCAAAGGCATGCTGTCCCCACAAAAAGATAAACACATATAATCTGATAAATTACACTTTTGTAACCCCTTCCAATTACTAGCTAGTAAAATGAAAGGGGAGCTGTGCTAATTTGTAACAGATTGCTTCTCTGTGCATTTTCATGTTGAACTAGCCTAAATGAGGCGATATTGCTGTCGCAGACAGTACAGACAAATAAAAGTGAATGCTTTTCCAGTTAATATACTGCACTTGCATCAAAGGGAAGCCCCAGAGATTCAGGCCACACTTAGCACAGTGTCGAAGCCCTACACTGAATTTACAGCACTACTTCTGACTTTTGGTGTCCTGCTGAGGACATCAAACTACTTGCCGCTAGATCTCGCCACAGTCTCTTGATTTTATGAGTTAGAGTAAAAAAAAAAAAAAAAAGAAAACCTTCAATTATTTGCCTGATTTTCTTAAAGAAGCTTAAAATCTTTTACAAAGAAAAACCAATTCCAGTACAAGCGCACGATGCTTACCGTATCTCAATTCATTGAAAACACCTAAAGAGTGGTAATGTGGTCATGCTTTGGAAAAGAATGGATTAATCACTTTTAACGTGAAATATAAATCCAGGTGCTTATTCCAAATTGACACAGATTTAGAGAAAAATGTCTTAAAAAGTATCGACAAAAGTAGTAAACTCTTTTACACTTACATTTTCCATTTTGCTCCAAATCAGTGGGGCTTTTAGGTTCTTGTAGAAGTAGATCTTTAAAGGACAAGATGTAGAAATTATAAATTCGCAGTTATCAACCTTATCAACGTTGTTTTACAGATATTGCAGGTTTTAAACACTTGAAAGTTGTAGCTTTTTGTATTGTCTATGTATGATTAGAGTGATTTTAGAAGCTGACAACTGCAAACATTTACAAAGAATCTTTTCTTTCCTTGTGTACGCAAGGAAGTACGCAAATTTGTTTTGCACTGTGTAAAATAAGGAGTTGCCAGCAGATTGCTATGATCGTGATAAGGATCATCTCAGGGATGTATTTTCTGCTGAATCATGAGTTATTTTTGTTCCAAAAGCAGTTAGGAGGAATAGAAATTAACTACACGGGGAGAAAAAAATCCAGACCATACATCCATTCCTTTTTATGTTATTAGCACCTTGCTGATGGCATACAATGATCCCTTCAAAGAAATTGATTTAAAACGCCTTGTAAATGTTTTAACACTGCATAACTTCTTAAACTTCCTTAATACAATATTCAAGAAATCTTTGTTTGTAAGTGAAGTGCTATATTCCATGCTTTCCTATTGGGGTGAAATGAGAATTTCTCATGGTTTAATAATTATATAAATAAAATGTACAAATAAAAAAACAGTGCAAATATTTCATCAGCTCCTTTGATGGATACATTTATTCCTATTCATAAATGTAAAGCAATACCAGTAGAATGCAGAGCACCAGTTACTATAATACTTCAAAGTACTGGCAGTTTCTGGATTATATAGACTGTTCACTTAAAATTATTTATACAAAGTTTCATTAATCTCAAAAGGACAATTCATTGTCCTTTACATTCAAAATTTGGGTGATTCATCAAGACAATGAGTTGCTGAAATGAGGAGCCTTGTGTAATAAGTAAACTGGAATGACAAAAGAACTGTTTTCATCATCCTAAATTGTTTTGTAGTGTGCTACTGAAAAGAAGAAGTCATGAAATCAGTAGATTAGAATGTTGGAAAAGCTATTTTCATCACCTGAAAATGTTCTGTAAAGTCGTGGACATTTGAGGCTTCCGTTTTACAAAGTATGAGACTAACAGTTGATGAGCTGCTGTCCAAAAAAGTTTGAAAGCAAGGTCAGAGTCATTGTGCACATTGGTAACTAAAAACCTTAGTATGACAGGAATGGGCAGCTGTCTTCCTTAACTGGCTAATTAATTGGATGCACTATTTGTTTTGCATTTTTAAAGATTCTGTTTATCATGAACCAATTCTTCTGTTCTGAAGGAAATTTTAGAGGAAGAATTGGCAGTGTAAGTCAATATTTTCAAACATGGGTTCTGAAACTGAGGTATTGATATCGTTATGTGAACACATTTACAATTGGAGTACCCTTCAAATTTCAGGAGGAGCTGCAGAAACAATGTAAAATATGTCTGAATTAGCTAGTCACATAGATACCTAAAAGTGGATTTCATTGTTTACATTTATATAGGAATGTTAATATTGGATTATAATTTGTCTCTCAAGAAATATGGCTCAGAAAATTCAAAATTTACTTATAATATGCAGAATTATCATTATGCAAAGGTATAATTAAAAATGTATTAGGTTAAAACTGATAGTAGTAAAAATAGGTCAAAAGATCTAAGATTCCAAAATTAAAATTTTATACTCAAAACTAACTACTTTGCATTGTATAACAGACAACTTCGAAATCTCTGAATATGAGGAAAAAAGAGTACTGCCTTGAACTAAATGACAGCCTCAGCTGCAAGATCTTGCCTGTTTTGTCTAAAAACTACTTGGCTCCCAAATGTAACACAACTGTAGAAATCTAATTAGATTTCTATGAGACTTTTTCTTAAAGTAAAGGAAACACTTTAACTGAGCTGCCCTGCATTTATCCTACCGTGAAAATAAATTAGCTGCCTGAAAAAGATAGTTGAATCATTGTCTCTTTCCTGGACAAAATTTGCACACCATTTAGGAATGCAAGACAGAGTTACAGGTAGATAACAAACCTAGGTAGATATGATATGAGATATGATATGATATGATATATAAATGTCTATGGAGATAAAACGAAGACAATTTTTAAAACCATATTCCTGATAGGAATATGATGACAGTTTTCTTTCAGACATAGTATTCCCTTCAATACCAGAATGCAACTACAATACAATAAAATTTGCTTCGATGATCACCTCCTCATCTCTGACAAACGGCTTAATGTAAATGTGCTATAATACTCACCAAATGTTGGAGACTTTTTTTGTTTTCTTTTACATCAAAACCCAGTTTTGTTGTTGGCAGCTTTATAATTTAGTATGTCTGTGCATCCAGGTACCTCAACAGCTTTTATGCTCTCTTCTGTTTATAAAATTTTGAGTTGATAACTGAATTGAAGACTAAAACAAAGGTGGGGGGTTTTTTTGGCAACAAGGCACTTAACACCATGGTACATTGCATATAATTCCACTCTCGCTTCCTTTTCTTAGACTACTAATTTTATTTGCAGTGGTCATGTCTATGAATTCAGAATCAAAACAAAGATGTATTTATAACAACTTAAATACTTTTTACATATCTATGAATGCCTATCTATAAGTCTATTAAAGCATTCAAGATCTGTTAAAGTATATTTTAAGAGGATATCCTAGCCACTTCTGAATATAGGGAAAAAGTATAAACACAGAAAAAATACTAACAGTTTGCAGTGAGTAGTTTCATCACAGACTGTGATTGTACGTTTTGCAAAAGAAATGTGACAAGGATTATCATTATGTGTTTATGGGTGTTACCCTTTAAGTATGAAGTAATTAGATATAAAAGGAATTATTGCTGTTAATTTGACCCACTGCTTACACTGCAAAGATAAGATTGCTACAATAGTTACTGTACTGGATTAAGCCATCTCTCTCGGATTGAACATACATACAAATTTTATAGGTCAGAATTCAGAAAAGAAAAAGAGAACCAAAGTTTGTCTCAATAGCTGGATAAGACATAATCGTTATTTAATGAACAGAAATATATACTTCATCTTAAAAATAGGAAAGAAGTCCTATTTTTTAATGATACCTTTCATAAAAGGTCTTTTTTTAAAGATGCTTTCTTCGTTCTTGAATTTCATCACTAGCACAAAATATGTTGATTGTTTCAGCTTAATCTCGTGAAAAAAGACATAGTGATTTTTTTTTTGCCACAAAGGTAATAACAGATTTGAAAAGCAGATGCTCTGACTGGAGCAGTGTAGGCAGCTAATGGTAAAGATGAAAATGTCCTAACAAAAGAAAAAGCGCTGAGCAGTGCCCAACTAATTTTTGTTTATATAATAAATTGGAGTTGGCTATAGCTTTCTACCCAACTCTTCCATTTATTAAATACATAATGAATTGTATTCATTGCCCTCTATTTCTGCACAGGAAAAGAGTAAGTCTGAGGAGTCCTTGTTTGTAACACCACATGGTCATAAGAGATAACATGTAAATTGCAAAATCTCTTAGCAGTGCTGGCCAATACAATATTTAATATTTTTAACCACTGAATAAGCTAATTTTGAGACTATCTTGTGCCTAACAAATGACTCAAATTTGACAGAAACACTTGCCACAGAGGAACTGGTGGATTATATTTTAATTTTCAATATCACAGTGAGCAAGGAGGAGAAATAATCTTCGGTTCAAGACATTATATCTATTTTAGAAGACCAGATTTATGTTATAGTTTGATTTAAAAATGAATTTCTCTTTCACCTATTGTATGTCATGTATATGTCACCTAAGACAATGAGAGTCGGTGAGAGTCTAGATTTGCAGCCATTTTGATCAATTTGTACTATGGTAGAACACTCTGTCCTGAGCATTAGCCAAAAACTCCAAAATAGGGCATCATCCAGTTATCATACAATCTGCATGTATGATAAAAGCCAAGAGATGAGTGTAACAGATGTTGTTTATTTCATTTAATATTAAACTAATGGTCTAATAAGACAAACTGACATCACAACATAAATGAGTTTTAAGGAAATATTTGAAATATGATCATTAGGATCACTACGTGACTTTATGGATTTATGCTGGGAGTTCCTTGTACACATAGTTGCAGCATCGGGAAAAGGCAACATATTTGTGAGAA